GAGATTTCTTATATCTATATCTCTTGTGAACGAGTTCTTCAATCTCTGACTAGGAGATGAATGAGCTCCTGTATCTTCTCATACGAAATGACAGAATGGATATAAATGATGTCCTCTAGCTGTTAACGCAACATGAAAAAACCTCCTCTATCCCCTAAAAGAGAAGGAGAGAGGGAAGCCCGCTCATGACCTATTAGGAACCAGAGGAGATAAAAGAGCTTGCTCATTGCAAAATAGGAAGCGGAGGGCTCTTGCAGAAGAGGCAAGGAGCTCCTTCACTTGCTGCAAAGATACAGAGGAGCTTTCAGATGACCTATTCAGAGATAGCGAAACTCTATCACGTAAACGATAGCGAGAGATGCGTTATGTCATGTCCCATTTGATGGACAGAGAATGGCCCAGAGTGGCCTTCAAAACTCTTCATTGATAGAGAAGCTGCGAAGCTATTTCTGAAAATCGACATAGAAGAGAACTCTCTCATTTCCTGCAGCGTGAAAAAGGAGGTCTCTCATGACCTATTGCGAGATAGAGAAATTTCAGGTAAGAGTTAGGTAATGGTAGAGCTGGGCACGCCTCTGCCTCTTGACGAGAAATGAGCTCGTGTATACTTCATGAATGCGTTCTTCTATCTCTCAGATGAAAGAGCTCCTCGATCCTTCTTATAGGGCATGAAAGAAATCCTGTGTTCGAACTGAAAAGACCCTTTGATAAGCAAAAGAAAAAGGGAAACGAATCGATGCCTTCTATCTTTTAGTGCAGAGCTTCTCACTTCTAATGCGACATGATAGAGCTCCTCTATTTTCTTGGAAATGAAACAGCTTGCGTTCTCTCCTGAGTGAAAGATGTCTCTGTCGTGGAAATGAGATCTCCTCTATGTTTCTAAGAAATGAGATAGCTCACCTCTACCTCGTAATCGGAAATGAGAGAGCCCTTCGCCCCTCTTCAGGCTATGAAACAACTTGTCTATCTCTTACTTCAAAGTGTGCTAGAGCTACATGGCTGCACTTGCTGGCGCCGGTGCACACACAGACCAAACCTTCACTATTACTGTTACTACTACTAATACTATTACTAGAATTATTACTATTCCTATTCCTATTACTATTACTAGTACTACTATTATTCCTATTACAATTACGGTCAGTATTATTATACTCATAATAATATTAAAATTATTATTATTATTGCACTACTACTGAAAGAAGAACCAGCCGTGAAATAGACCCTAAAGGTCTCGGCCACATATATATATATATATATAGGGATTACTA